CCAACTGGTGGCTTCTGTTCTGGAAGTTCTGAAAGCCTTGGGGGATATAGCAGCATGCCCTCCACTTTCAGGAGGGCCCTCTGGTTGCAGGGCAGCGTTGGGAAGCTGAATTCCATTGTTCCCTTCACCCTGCAGCCTCCCTCTTCCACAGAGTGGAGAGTCACTTCCAGATGGGCTGAGTCCCTCCAGCTCTCCCAACCTCCCACTGGCTGTCCCTGGCCCTGGCCCACAGTGCGGAGGGATTCCCTTCCATGTCTGCCTCCACTCAGTCAGGGCTCTTCCTGGGGCAGGTGTCGGGGCCCATCTCCCTGTTCCCACCATTGGGGTATGGCCATACATTGGGTGGCTGGTCTCCAGGCCTGGCCTTGGAGGGACATGTTAAGCCCAACTGTGACCTGGGTTCTCAGCCGAATTCTCCATTCTATGCTCTCAGCAAACTCTGGGGTCTGTCTCCTAATGGGTTCAGAACTCAGGGTGTGGAGAAGGGATGTAGTTAATCACCACCCCTCAAGCCCAAACCGTGGGGTCCACCTGCAGGCTAGGGGATCCCTGAGTCACGGATGTCACCAACGCTCAAATCGGGAAGGAGGGGGCCTCAGCCAGCTGCACTTATTCATAAATAAGCAGGCTGTGGTCGGCTAGGCAGTTTCCCTGTTCAGCCTGACCTTCCCTTCCAAACCAAATTCTGTCGAGAATCATTTAAATTTTCTTCCTGTTTCAGCCAGCGGTGAAGTGGGCCCCTGCCAGACCTGGGTGGTTCCAGCGCTCCTGCTCGGGGAGCCGAGCGCTTTGGTTCTCTCGGCAGCTCCTCCACAGCCCACTAATGAGACCCTGTTAGTGGTTACGAATGTAAATGCACGCTTTGTTATCCCTGCGAGATCAGGATTGGCGAAATGACAGGATTTATTGCTTCTGTTAGGGCGATATGATATTGGTTGTTGTTGTGTCTTTAATTTTGTAGGAAGAGCGAAAGTATAGAGGTACATCGTCTAAATCAACAAAAAGCTGTGGAAGAAAAAATTTAGCATGAAACACTGAAGATCGAAGCAATCTGGGTCTCACTAACTTTATAGAAAATTGGGAATTGTGCCGCCAGCCTCCTTTGCATTCCCCAAATACAAAAGCAAACACAAAAACGACTCTGCACTTGGACCACCTTTGAAAGGACTCCTTGGGTTTGCTTTTGGTGGTGGATGAATTAAGCCGGCTGTGTACAAAGTTTATGTGCTTTGATTCAAGCAAATTCATTTCTCTCGAAGAGGAACTAACAACAGGTCCCATTTACTCAAAAGATACAGTTTGAGTAAGTCTGTAAAACGGTGCCCACATCTGATGGTTAATTAAGGACCTGTAAGTGCCCAACTCCCTATCAGACAAGGAATGTAAGACTGTGCTGTCACATGGTGAGGAGAGATGAGGTGAGGAAACCAGAAGGCCAAGCGCTCCACGGCCTCATAAAAAAACCAACATCTTCATATGACCTTCTTGGTGACCACGACATTCCACAATTCCGCGTGACATTCCTGAGAACTAAAATGCCATGATGAGTCACTGTTCTCTTTCCAAACAATTGCTACAACTACAAAATTATAACGTGACTTGAAACAGAGCTAAAATATAGAATATACGCTAAAGAAAAATTAACGGAACAATGTAAACAACCCTAATATTCAAAGAGCACTGACAAACCAATTAGGACAAAAAATAGCTTAATTGGAAAATGGGCAAAGGGAAAAGCAGTTACAGCGCCAAGGCCATAAAGAGGTAGTCCACAAAGATAAAATACACATGACCTGTTATCTTCTGAAAATGTGGTCAATGTTACCAACCTCACTGACAATCAAAAGACCACAATTAAAAATAAATACATCTTTTGTCGCCTAACAAATTGGCAAAGATTCAAATGGCTGGCCGCGGTAGGCAGAATAAAACCTCCCAGAAAGATGTCCAATCGCTGGCACCTGTGAGTATGCTCCCTGGCGTGGCAAAGAGAGCTCTGCAGAGGGGTATTAAATTAAGGACCTGCAGATGGGGAGATAATCCTGTATTGTTCTGGGTGGTCCCAATGGAATCCCAAGGGTCCTCCTAAGAAGGAGATAAGAGGGTCAGAGTCAGAGAGGGAGATGAGATAGCAGAGGCAGAGGTCAGAGAGAGACAGAGATTGGAAGCTGCCACTCTGCTGGCTTTGAAGACAGAGGAAGGGGCCACGAACCAAGGCATGGGGATGGCCTCCAGAAGCTGGAAAAGGCAGGGAAGTAAATCCTCCCAAGTGCTCCAGGAAGGAGCACAGCCCTACTAATACCTGGATTTTAGGACTTCTGATCTGCAGAACTGCAAGATAAATCTGTGTTGTTCTAAACCACTAAGTTTGTTATAGAAGCAATAGAAGACGAATACGCTGGCCAATACCCAGAGATGGCAAAGGCAGGGAGGGAAGGGGCATCGGCACGCCGATGGTGGGAACGCACAGCAGGACAGCACCCCCTGCTGCCACCGTTCATGGGCCTCACCGCTGACGCAGGCCTCAGCGCATCCTAAGATCATCAGGGATGTTTCTCTACACAAGAGCGTGCATTTTAGTATTATGGAAGGACTGCAAATCTGGAAACCATATAAATATTTATTTTGGAAATTTATATTTTGGAAAAAAATCAAACGGACAAGGAAGCTGCAAGAAGAGTCAAAGAATTCCTACAGACCCTTCCTGGGAGTGGCCGGTCGTTAGCACGGCCTTAGTTGCATGGGCATTGTCTGTTTCTGAACCACTAAGCTTGTTAGTGGGGAATTAAATTATCTTCCAGACATACTGTGGAACACTACCAGCGGCACCTGAAACTACATAAATTAGGTTAATTTTGTATCACATTCACGCATGTTTTCTTATGAATCTTCTTTAGGGTGTTAATCCCCACCCCGGTAAATGGGAATTTGGAGAGAACTGGAGAGAGATCATGCTTGGGGATGCCGCAGGTGCTCCACCATTGCTGCTGCTTGCTGCTGTGGCTTTTTCTTTTTTTTTTTTTTTTTTGAGACAGAGTCTCACTCTGTCACCCAGGCTGGAGTGCAGTGGTGCCATCTTGGCTCACTGCAACCTCTGCCTCCCGGGTTCAGGCAACCCTCCTGCCTCAGCCTCCAGAGTAGCTGGGACTACAGACACCCACTGCCACCCCGGCTAATTTATTTTTTATTTTTAGTAGAGATGGGGTTTCACCATCTTGGCCAGGCTGGTCTTGAACTCTTGAGCTCAAATCATCCACTTGCCTCGGCCTCCCAAAGTGCTGGGATTACAGGTGTGAGCCACCACACCCAGCCACTACTGTGACATTTGAAGAGTGGCAGCTGCCTTGTGGCCTCCCAGGCACTGTGCATGTAGATGATGGCTGGTCCTCAGGACAACCCTGCAGGAAGGGACCTCTCCCTCTATCATGCCATCGAGAAGCCTGGGCCTTCGAGAAGGGCAAGGTGGTTTTTTGGTGCCACGTTTCTGGTGGGGGCAGCACTGGAATCTGAAGCAGCCTGGGAAGCGCGAGAGCTCCTGCTAGTTTTCACCCTCCCAGGTGCCTCCCGCCTCCACCTCATTCTGTGAACACCGCAGAGACGCAGGAACAGACCCGCTCACTGCCCTGTGCCTACACAGATCATTGCATCTGATGGCTCCCACTCCCCACACTTGAACTCCACCCTGTGGACTAGGACATCTTGGGAGGGCCAGCTAGGACATCTCCCCAGGAGGCCCGTTCAGCGGATGGCTGGGAGGACATAACCTGTTTTCATGTGTTTCCTCATCAATCTGCTCTATCTAAGGCGGTAGGAAAAGGCAACCAGCTTCCACCAGGAGGGTTCCTAGCCAGTGCCCGCATTGCTCACTGTAACAGCAGCTGCTTCTGGAATTAATTTTCTTCACAAAAAGCATGTGTTCACATCAGACTTGACAACTGGGTGTGCACTGACTGCTGGGAGGAGCTGCAGCATATGCAGGGGAGACGGTCTGGGCAAATGGGAAATTCACAGCCCACGGAAGAGACAGGCGGAGGAGCCAGAGAAGCCCAGCCACCAACTGGCTGCGTGGCCTCAGCAGCTCAGTCCCTTCTCTGTGGCTCCTTTGTGGACTCAGGAAGCTGGGCTAGAATGCTCCCAAAGGTGCCCTTGCTGGGGTCAGATCCTAGGAACGCTTTCAGTCTGTGGATCACAGAGGGCACCTGGAAAGAGGATCTGGGCCTGCTTCCCTATCAAACAGGGGAGCATCTAGCTGCTGAGGACCAATGCCAGTCAACGCTCGCATCTGCAAAGCTGTCTGAACCCTCCAGCTTCTGAGGGCTGATTCAACTGGAATACTTGCCCATAGTATTTTTATATACCAAATAATAAGGGATGTGGGGGTGGGGGCAGTGGCTCACGCCTGTAATCCCAGCATTTTGGGAGGCCAAAGCCGAAGGATCACTTGAGCCCAGGAGTTCAAGACCAGCCTGGGCAACATGGAGAAACCCCATCTCTACAAAGAACACAAAAACTTAGCCAGGTGTAGTGGCATGCACCTGTACTCCCAGCTGCTTGGGAGGCTGAGGTGGGAGGATCACCTGAGCCCAGGAGGTTGAGGCTGTAGTGAGCCGAGACTGTACCACTGCACTCCAGCCTGGGCGACACATTGATTTCCTGTCTCAAAACAAAAAAGGATGAGGGGGAGCTCTGTGGCCTCTCCTGGCTCTCAGTTTTAAGTGGTACCAGTTACGAAAAGCAAACAGTCTTGAGAAATGGGAACATTCTAACCATCAGGGATAACCCCGCCACATCCACAAACTCACCTCAGGGGGGATCGGGCTCAGACACCAAGAGGCCTTATCAGAAACAGGCAACACAGCCTTTGCTTACGAGAAAACCCCACCTCCATTTCCCGGCTGTTCTCCCCAGTTCTGAGCCCCTGGATGTTCAGAGAGCCGCACAAAGAGAAAGTTCTCTCTGGAGCCTGTGAGGTCGTGACAGTTAGTGGGAACGTGGCCTACCTGCCATCCCCTTTTCAAAATAGGGCCGAATGTGCTCGCCAAACGTGGTCGCGTCTGCCACGGCCTCTTTCAGCAGTTGCCCACAGCCGACTGAAGGAGAGGGGAACAGAAAGGCACCCATTAAATTTTAAATAGGAGGGAGGATGAGAAAAAAAGAACCCCCAGCGCTGCCTGCTGGGGGGAAGAAAAAGGTCACTGAAAAAAGTATAAAAGGATTTTTCTGTGGGTGGATATGTGTCCAAGTAAAAGTAAATATCAAAAAGGAGCCAGGAAATAAAGAAGAGGGAGAGGTGGAATGAAAAGGAATGCATTTGGCAAAGAACACATTAAAAATGGACAGTGCGGGGAAGACACTAACGAGGCTGCTGCCCACAGAGGAGCCTGCAGAGCCTCGCTGCGCCTGGAATTGCTGTGCACAACGCTGGGTCGCTGCAGAGGGTCAGCGTGCTGGGCGGGGAGGTGGGGGGGTTGCCCATCTCTGAGCGATATGCCTCAAGTGCGTCCACATTCGCACCCTTGTCACACAGGGGAGAGGGTGCAGTGTGTTGCTGCCACGGCCGCTCCAGCTGGCAGGGCGTCTCCATGGGATGGGGGGGGCCACATGATAGGATGGATTCATATTCCAAGTGGACTGACTCATCGTTAAAAAGCACCACGTGGCTGTAATCCCAGCACTTTGGCTGAGGCGGGCGGATCACCTGAGATCAGGAGTTTGAGACCAGCCTGGCCCACACGGTGAAACCCCAACTCTACTAAAAATACAAAAATGAGCGAGGCATGGTGGTGCATGCCTGTAATCCCAGCTACTTCGGAGGCTGAGGCAGGAGAATTGCTTGAACCTAGGAAGTGGAGGTTGCTGTGAGCCAAGATTGTGCCACTGTTACTCCAGCCTGGGAGATAGAGGGAGACTCCGTCTCAAAAATAAATAACTAAATATATAAAAGGTACCACGCTGCAGTCACCTAGCCAGTGGCGGCTGCCCTACTCTGAACGCCTGCTCGCCCTGGGCAGGGGCCTCCCTCTGGCCCCACTGTGTCTCGAGCCCTGAGACAGGGCCGGCACATAGGAGGTGCAGTGACAGGTGTGAGTGAATAAGCACAGGCTAACTCCTCCTTGGCTGTGAAAGCCCTTCCTAGCCAAAGCCAGAAGATTGAAGCTATGTTTGCATGAATTGTTCATTGCGCACTTTTGGCTTTCTTACCTTTAGGGCTAAGGAGTTTTCTGCCTATATTAAAGAGACCAAAAGACATCCTACAGTTAACTGGATAGCATGAATGTTTAAAAAAAATTACCATCACCAAGGATTTATTCCTCAATGATGATATGTTTAATCCACTATGTAAATGACAGCAGTTGTCATTTAATTTAATCCAGCGTGGTTGGCGGCCTCACCAGCAAAGCACATATAAGTGAGAATAGAGGCTGCTGGGGACCAGGTGCTGTGGTTCACGCCTGTAATCCCAGCACTTTGGGAGGCCAAGGTGGGAGGATTATTTGAGGTCAGGAGCTTGAAACCAGCCTGGCCAACATGGTGAAACCCCATCTCTACTAAAAATACAAAAATTAGTTGGGCATGATGGTGGGCACCTGTAATCCCAGCTACTTGGGAGGCTGAGGCAGGAGAATCGCTTGAGCTAGGAGGCGGAGGTGGCAGTGACCAGTTATTGCACCAGTACACTCCAGCCTAGGTGACAGTAACACTCTGTCTCCAAAAAAAAACACTGGTGGGAACAGAGACAATTCTGTCTGTTGTCTCTGTTCAAAAGCACTGTGCAAAGTGTGCTTTGTTTTATTTGGACCTCACAGTAACCTGTTGCTTTTTAGATAAGGACACTGAGATTCAAAGAGATGAAGTAACCTGCTCTTGGTCACACTGCCATTCAGGGGCAGAGCTGGGGTCCAAACCCAGGTCTGTGTGACATCAAACCCATGCTTAGCTTCCAGTTCTGGCCATGAAGAAGTAACAGGTATATATTTAACTTCTCTTATAGAAAACTGTGAAACTGAACAAAATCTATGAAGCAATTCTTTAGTCACTGGACAATAGACAGACAATAGATAGATAATCCTGGAGACGCTGGAAACACACACAACGAGCCCCATATTCACCCTGGATTTCTACCTGTGGGCACTTCTCAAATCCTGGCACAGACGAAGTGAAACCCAAACAGATCAGCAGTCTCACTGGGTGGAAGTAACAAAGACTGGAGCTATGAGACAGCCAGAATTTGTAGGACAGGGAAATGGAGAGGAGGGAGCTGTGCATACAAGGAGCTCTAGAAATCTCACAGGGTGTCACTAAGCCTTTGCCAATATGAAGCTTCACATGTGCAAGGTAAGACTCCAGAGGCCTGGTAGAGAAAAGCTACTGGGAAGCTGTGAACTGAATGGAAATTCACACAGTGCTGGGAGATGCTGGTATTCTGACAACCAAAGTGAGAGACCTTGCCGAACACCCCAGACATTCTGCTGAAATTCCAGAAAGGGCAGACCTTAGCTGCAGGATACTCTAGCCCTACAGTAAGAACACTCTAGTCCCACTTAACAAAGCCTAAAAATAAGCTTCAATGGGGTTAATACTCCAAACTCAATACTCTTAAAGCAGAGTGATGACACAATCCAGACCTTCAAAAATGTGGCAAACACAATGTCCAGCACTTAATCAAAAGCTTCTTGACATGCAAAAAAGCAGGAAAATGTGACTCCTATGAGGAGAGCAAACAGGCCACAGAATCAGACCAGGAGATGACACAGATATCAGAAATAGCACACCAGGACTTTAAAACAGCTATTATGAGTATATTTAAAAGCTTAAAGGAAAAGATAGTTAAAATGAGTAAACAGATGGAGAATCTCAGCAGAGAAAGGAAAACCGTGAAAAAGAACCAGATGGCAATTCTGGAACTGGAAAATACAGTATCTTAGATAAAACAAATCACTAAGTGTGTTGCAATCAGTGAATCTGAAGACAGGAAAGGAGGCAACAGGAAGTAGCCAAACTGCAGTGCAGGGGGGGATGGGAAAGGACTGGAAGAAAAGAGCCAAATGGAAGAGACCCGGAGGACGATACCATGCAGTCTAACATACGTGGAACTGGAGTTCAAGAAAGGAGAGAGTCAGGCAGAAGAAATATTTTGGAAGATAATGACGGGAGAATTTCAAAATTCGATTAAAAATTTCAACCCACACACCCAAGAATCTCTGAGATCCAAGCAGAACAAACACAAAAGTTGCACTTTGATACATCAGAGTCAAATTGCTGAAAGCTAAAGAGAAAATATTAACAGCAGCTGGTGGCAGGGGGAGTGCTTCATATGTAGGGCAACAATGGTAAAAATAACCTCTGAGATCTCATCAGAAGAAGTGCAAGCCAGAAGACAATAGAATGACATCTTTAAAGTGCTAAGAGAAAGAAACTGTCAACATAGATTTCTATATGCAGCCAAAACATCTTTCAAAAATGAAGGTGAAATCGTGACATTTTCAGATGTATGAAAGCGTTGTCACCAGCACACTTTCACTACAAGAGATGTTAAAGGAAGTTCTTCAGGCTGAAAGAAAATGATACCAGATGGAAACTTAGATGTCAACCAAGAAGTGAAGCGTATTGATAGGTGGGTACATATGAAAGTCGTTCCCCACTTATATTTTCACTGTTTTAAAGGACAAATGACTATTTAAAGCAAAAATAATTACAAGATATTGTAGGGTTTATAACATACATAGAAGTAAAATGTACATCCCCTGTAGCACAAAGGACAGTAGTAAGGTAAATGGGAATCTGCTGCTGCAATGCTCTGATATGATACATGGGGAGGTGTCATATTCACCCCAGATAGGCTGTGACAAGCAAAAGATGCATATTTAATCCCCATAGCAACCACTAACAAAATAAAGCAAAGAGATACAGCTAAAAAAGGAAGTTAAAAAAAGAAAACGGATTACTAAAAAATATTTGGTTAATCCAAAAGATGGCAGGAGAGGAGGAACAAAGAACAGATGACACAAGAAGAAAACAAAAAACAGGCCAGGCGTGGAGGCTCACAGGAGGCCGGGGGGGCGGGGGAGGTTCGCTTGAGCCCAGGGTTTGAGGGTGCAATGAGCTATGATCGCACCACTGTACTCCAGCCAGGGCAACAGAACAAGACCCCATCTCCTAAAAAAAGTGAGACCCAACCACATGCTGTCTACAAGACACATATTTAGGCTATAAGACACAGATAGTTTAAAAGGAAAAGAATAGAAGCTATATCATACAGACACAGATCATAAGAACGAGAAACTTCATTAACATGAGACAAAGTAGACTTTAAGAAGGTGAGCATTGCTAGAGAGGCAAAACCTTTCCTAACAATAAAAGGGCCACTTCCCCAATAAGATCTAACTATCCTTACTGTATGCAGTTGGCCTAACTATCCTTACTGTATGCAGTTGGCCCTCCATATCCACAGTTTCTACTTTCATGGATTCAATCAACCACAGATTGAAAATATTTGGGGTAAACATTACGTCTGTACTGGACATAAAAAAGACATGTAGCGTCTTTTTTCCTTGTCAGTATTCCCTGAACAATACAGTATAACAACTGTTTGCTTAGCATTTACATTATATTAAATATTATAAGTAATCTAGAGATGTTTTAAAGTGTATAGGAGAATGTACGTAGGTTATATGCAAATACTATGTCATTTTGTATCAGAGACTTGAGCATCCTTGGATTTTGGTATCCAAGGGAGGTCCTGGAACAATCCCCATGGATACTGAGATGTGACAGTATGTACTTAATACCAAATTACATGAAGCAAAAACTTGCAGAGAAATAGACAAATCCACAATTAAGAGTTGGGAGATTTTTGACATTTTGGGCAGATGATTGTAAAAAGTTAAAAATAAAAGAGTCGGGAGAGTTTAACACAACTCCTCAATAGCTGACATAATAAGAAGAGTGATAATAATTAAGGACAGAGAAGAATTGAACACTATCAAACATCTTATCCTAATCAACATTATAGAACACTATATCCAACAATGCAGAATACCTCTTTTTTTTTTCTTTTTTTTTTTTTTTAGACGGAGTTTCACTCTTGTTACCCAGGCTGGAGTGCAATGGCGCGATCTCGGCTCACCCCAACCTCCGCCTCCTGGGTTCAGGCAATTCTCCTGCCTCAACCTCCTCAGTAGCTGGGATTACAGGCACGCGCCACCATGCCCAGCTAATGTTTTGTATTTTTAGTAGAGACGGGGTTTCACCATGTTGACCAGGATGGTCTCGATCTCTTGACCTCGTGATCCACCCGCCTCGGCCTCCCAAAGTGCTGGGATTACAGGCTTGAGCCACCGCGCCCGGCAGAATACCTCTTTTTTTAAAGTACACTTGGGGCCGTGTGCGGTGGCTCACGCCTGTAATCCCAGCACTTTGGGAGGCTGAGGTGGGCAGATCATCTGAGGTTGGGAGTTTGAGACCAGCCTGACCACCATGGAGAAACCCTGTCTCTACTGAAAATACAAAATTAGCTGGGCGTGGTGGCACATGCCTGTAATCCTAGCTACTTGGGAGGCTGAGGCAGGAGAATCGCCTGAACCTGAGAGGCAGAGGTTGTGGTGAGCCAAGATCGTGCCATTGCACTCCAGCCTGGGCAACAAGAGTAAAACTCTGTCTCAAAAAAAAAAAAGTACATTTGGAATTCACCAGTATAGACCATATATGCAAATTTCAAGGGATCAAAATCACATAGGGTATGTTCTTTTACTGCAATAAAATTAAATTAGAAATCAAGAATATAAAGCAATCAGGAAGATCCCCAAATAGGTGGGAATTAAGCCAGGTGTATTCTAAATAATACATAAGTCAAAAAAGAAACCAGAGGCTGAGGTGGGAGGATTGCTTCAGGCCAAGAATTTGAGACCAGAATGGGCAACATAGATCCTGTCTCTACCAAAAAAAAAAAAATTAGCTGGGCTTGGTGGCACACACCTGTAGTCCCAGCGACTTGGGAGGTTGAGGTGGGAGGATCACTTAAGGAGTTGGAGGCTGCAGTGAGCCATGATTGGGCCACTGCATTCCAGCCTGGGTGACAGAGCAAGACTCTGTCTTGGAAGGAAGGAAGG